CCCCCCCCCCCCCCCCCCCCCCCCCCCCCCCCCCCCCCCCCCCCCGGGCTCGTCAATCCAAGTCAACTGCCAGGGTGCTGGGAAGCTCCAGGCCCTTTCATCAAAGAGTGACCCGATATTTTAAGGAGACGACCCATGTCAAAGACATTGCTTTGATCACGGCCGTAAAGTGATCTTCAGGGCTTTGTTCTTCATCATCTTCATCTACATTGCCTCCGCTCTGGCGAGCTACGGGCCAACGCCATCTCTCTTCCTTCCTTTCTTTTTCCTTCTTTCTTTGTGCGCTGCTCGTCTTCTTTATCCTCGCTCTTGGTTCAGTGTGAGCCAATCATTGGCCTCTGGTATTTTCTTTTCTTTTCTTTTTTTTCCCACTATACGAGTTCTCTTCTCCATACATCCACAGACATACCAAGGCCCGCCCGATTCCAGACAAAGCCAGGTCTCCCATTCGCTCGCTCTTTTGGTTCCCTTTTCTTTTTCCTCTGCGCTTGTATACCGGCCTGCTTATTCGGCCGTGATTATTACTCCTTGTCGGCCAATATCTCTCCTCTCGGCGTACATACGAGTACCAGCACTCTCGGGCATCCTCCCCCCACCCCTCAGCAACCGACGACTGAGACATACATCTACCCTATCGAGGGCGGAAGAGCCCGCGCGAGTGACAATTCGGTCCCTGAGGGACTACTGCTATGCGTATGCGCTTTGTATGCACACCATCATACGCTTAGTCTGTAAGAATCCATAGCCACCAGGTTTTCTGTCAGACACCCTATCACGGTTCCTGGTCAGGGAGAGAGACTTGGATAGCGAGTGGCGGGTTTCGAATACGCAAGGGCATTGCCACCTTTCTAGGCGCTCTGTGTGTGTGTACGAGTACAGTCCGGCTGTTGGCTGCTGATATTTGTCCGCTAGCCCAGTCCATTCGAGAGAAGAAGCAATGGCGGCGTCTGTTGGTTCAAGATTTCTCACACCCTGGGTGGGGGACCAGAACCCTCCTCCATCACCACTTGCTTCGAACCCCGTCATTTTCCGTCGGTATAGCACTGGTATCGAATTGTTGGATAACAAAAAGGACAAGAGATCATCCGTGATTGACCCGGTCATGGCGCTGAAGAATCTAAGAAGCTCTTACCACGGCAAGGGCAATGGCCGCGGTGTTGATGATTTGGAAGATGCTCCTCGCAATCGAGTGAACCATTATAGCAAAGATGATACCACGAGTTTAGCCGATTTCTTGAAGAATCACGAACCCCCATCGAGCAGCTACATGTCCGTTCCCTTTGCTCACGCAGACGACAAGGATCGGGAGTCGAAATGGTCCAAATTCATGGCCATGAAGAGAAGAAGCAAATCGGTTCCCAGGCCTCCCCAAAACATTCAGCTACCAGACTCGGCAGTGTCAGGCGTCACCATTGGAGGACACCGGCACATCGCCATCTCGATCCCTCTCGAGGCCATGCCTTTTGCTTCCGACTCGACAGCACAAACCTCTGCCAATGTGAACAACAACAACATCGGTACAAGGGTTGGGGGAACAAGGAACGAGTATGCAACTCTCCCACGAAACTTTGCCGTCCAGACGTATTCCGGGGGAAACGGCACCGTCACTGTTTTCCCCACTGCGACTGATGAGGTTCCTGCGTTTCCTCAGACCCCTTCTACACAGCGCTCCAGCCTTTTATCACAGCAGTCCGTCTCGTCGAGTCTGGAGGAGAGGAGTAGCCATACGCAAAGCACCCCAGGAAAGCACCACAAATCCAGCAGCCAATCCACCGGGTACTCTACAGAAGGATCCATGGGGCCAAGTGCTAGGAACCAAGCAAAGAACAAGCCACCAGGCTACGTCAGTATATTTCCAAAGATTACTGATCCGCCCCATATCAACGCACAAGGAATGGTTGTCTGGGGACCTCAGAAAAGCCCGACTAGGCCAAACAACCAGCAGCGTCCGGCGAGGCCCTCAAGCATGGTTGTTCCTGCTGGCCCGAGGCATCGCCACCCCGCCCACTCGGCATCTATTGACGGCCTGTTGAGCGTGGCCAAAGATGTCGAGACCGTTCGGGACGGGTACAATAAGAAACCGCTTCCGAAGCCGCCAGGGAAGGCCGACTCTCGGGCTAAGCAGCAATACAGACCTGGCATCGGATTTCCTTCTCCAATCACCGAGGAATCTACCGATGGATCTTCGAGGAGTACTAAGCGTAGCATTCGCAGAGCTGTATCTGCCCAATCAATGCTAGCAGTCAACAAAGAGCTCCCTTCTCGCCCATCAACAGCAGGCTCAATACAGAGCCGACGCGAGAAAGTTCGAGACAAGAAGAGGAGAGACATGGAAGCTGCAAAGGCGTTGAAAGAGCTGCAACGACGAAGGTCTGAAGATCAACACAAAGAACACGCAGACGGAGAGCAATCGCGAAATTATGCAGACGCGCAGGAGGAGAGTGAGCGCCCTCAAACATCTTCCCTGAACACTCTTATTCCCATTGTCGTCGTGGTTGATCTCCAGCCCTCACCCGGATTGCCAGAAGACAAGAGCGGTCGGAAGGTATCTTCTCCTCCATCAAGCTCTCACTCATCTTCACCATCACCATCACCGGATATGAGCCAACTTCGACTGTCTCGCGACATGGATAGCGAGTTGTATTTGCAGCACAAGCGGAACCTGATGGACAAGCAAATCCTACGTCTCTATGACTCGTACCACGAAAACCGTCTTCGAGATGTGGAGCGCCGTATACGCCGACTGGAGCGCAACGGCGATGTTTGGCTGCGTGCTCTGGTGCCAGTCCTTGACGATATGAGCCGCAACATCAAGACGTCAAGCCGCATCAGCAAAGCTGCACATGCGGATGGCGAAGGTCGAAGCTGGGCTTCAGATGACGAGGTCAGCTCAGCAGGCGCGGAACGTAAAGCTCGCAGTGCCAAACGAACCAAGACGCCCACAAGGAGAGCCAGCCTATCCCGAGATCGGATCGTGGCGGGACTCATTGGGGGAAGGCTTGCGTCTGATGACAGCGAAAGCAGCGACACGATGAGCAGAAGCGACGAAGCAGGCGGCCTGGGAATCATTGAGCCTCTGATGAGAGAATTGGCCGGTGAAGCGAGACGGAGACAGGAGCAGATTGCGGAGAGGACGGCGGATGATTGGCGTCACAACACTGTGTAGGCGCAATGAAGGAGAGAAACATTCCTTCTTGGTATACCTTATTGCTTTGATTTCCTTTGTTCTAACAAAAAGGGGGGAGGAGGGGGGAAGCGAAATCAATGGGCGATGTCTCTTGTTCAAGGCGTTTTTGGGGAGATGATCACGTAGCTGCATGCTGTACTTGATTTTGAAGATGAAGTGCGAACATGGTTTTTTTTGGGGGGACGGATATACCAAGTCATGGCCGTATTTACTTAGATATACCCGTTACACGTCTTGTCTTTGACATTCTTCTTCTGTTTTTATCTACATTAGTTTTACTGTAATCTGGCATAGCGCCTGGAATTAATTCTTAATTCTTATTTTCTGAGCTGATTGGCTGGTGTTTTGTTTAAAGTTTGGCTATTATTTGTTGAGTAAATTCACGGCGAATTCAAGGGAGAGTCAATGGCACAGCAGAGTTGCGGACGATTCGTTGGCGTCATCGAACCAAATCCAACACAACCACCCAAATCTGCAACTCACAAGCTCTCATCTCATCTCATCTCATCACTTCATCTCATATCAATCAACCAGCTGCGAGAAAACCAATTCATCAAAAACACTCGTATTCAAACATAATGTTCACACCCCATTAGAGTACATCACTCGCCATCTCCAACTCAACATCTCAGCAATGTCCTCAACGCCATGGATCTTCATCTGCCCCTCCAGCAGAGGCATCGGCAATGCCCTCACCCGCCACATCCTGCGACGCACGGCTCGTTTATCTACGCCGATCCCGGTTCTCGCAACTACGCGGCATCTCGATCCGGCAGTGGCCAAGGCGGCGCTTCTTAGAGATGTGTTTTCCACGCCATCGTCCTGTTATTCTTGGTCAGCTTCTTCATCCTCGCTGTTGAAAGAACAGCACGAGAAACAACAAGACGAGCTCTCAAAGCGCCTCTTTGTCGTGCGCTGCGACGTCACAGACGAGTCCACCATCGCATCCGCCGCCCAAGAGGCACGGAATCTGTTCCCCGGGGACTCGCACCACCTGCATCTCGCCTGCGTGCTCCCGGGCGTGCTGCTCAACCCGGAGAAGTCGCCGGCACAGGTCGACGCGGATGCCGCTCTGCAGTCGTTCCGGGTCAATGCCGTCGGACAGCTGCTGGTGGCGAAGCATTTCTTTGGGTTCCTCCCCCGGAAGGGGACTGCGATGTCGTCGTCGCCGGGATACGAGTACGACGACGAGGACGTGGACCAAGACGACGATTACGAAGGCGAGGATGAGGACGAGGCGGAGGAAGAGGCCGCGCTGCGTCTGCCCCAGCACGCAACTTGGCTCAACATGTCGGCGAGAGTGGGCTCCACGACGGACAACCGCGCGGGAGGCTGGTTCTCGTACCGCGCGAGCAAGGCAGCTGTTAACAGCATCACCAAGAGTCTGGACATACAGCTGCGGACGAGGGCGGGTGACAATGCCATGGCGGTGGCCTATCATCCCGGCACGGTCAAGACGGAGCTGAGCAGGGACTACTGGGGTGGTGTGCCTGAGGAGAAGCTCTTCAGCACTGAGTATGCGGCCGAGAAGCTCATGGACGTGGTGTGTGGGTTGGGGGTGAAGGATAGGGGACGCTGTTGGGACTGGAAAGGGACTGAGATTTCTCCTTGATCTTGATTCATAGGAATCTAATCAGATACTACTCCTTTTTTACAAATAATTATACAGATGTGACTTGGCAGATGAGCGCACAGGGACAACCTTGAAATTAAAAAGTCTTTATAAAATGGCTCTTTTGTAAACGGCATGACATGCTTTTTGTCTTTTCCCGCCCGCCCAAATAGCTCCCCTTTTCCCTGTAATAAGAAACAAGCTCGTCGTAGAATTTCTCGTCTTCTTCATCCCCTCCCCCCCCTTCCCTTCGCATCACTCAAAAACAACACGGCGCGTAAAACGTGAACAGCAAGGTACCTGCATGTAGATGAAGCACGAGAGACATATGCCCAGTGTACATGTATATCCGCAAAACAAAACAAGGCATACTCTACAGCTCAACCTCCTGGAACGACGCCCCGTCCGCGGGCCGGGACCCATCCTCGTCGTCATCGCTGACTTGTTCCACAATCGCCGTTTGGGACTCGACAGGCCGCAGTGCCACTTTTTGCTCTTGAACGTCTTCTAGACGTACTTTTTGCTCTGCCTGCCCGTCAGATTTTGTCTTCTGCTCCGACGACTCGCCCTTCTCCTCCTCCTCCCCCTCCTCATCGTCGTCCTCGTCTTGCTGGGAGTTGGAATTTTCTCCGGCTTTGGACGATTCTGCTTCTGCTTCGTGGTCTTTCTTTCCGTTGACCGGGGTAGTGGCCGGCGATTTGCCGTCTCGAGACTTATCAGAAGCTGCCTCTTGCGCCGATGGTGACGCTCGCGGTGGTGTGTCCTTGGGAGGCACGTCTTTGGCGGGAGGAGGAGGCAGCTGATCGTCGCTGGGGGGACCTGGCCGCATGACGTCGAGGTAGAATTTGGTGACGCCGAGGATCCGGCCGTTCTGCTCGCAGGCCGTCACCCACTCGGGCCGCACCACGGGGATGTTGTTCTCGACGGCCTTTTCCCACGCCGTTCCCCTGCCTTCGGTGGTGACGAAGTGCGTCGTGTCGATGCGCACCCCGTCGACAATCTTGGCTCCGATGCGCTCCACCGCACGTGTCAGGTTCTCTCTCGTCGCCGCGGGCAGAATGCCGGTTGTGATGGTGATTCCGCTGAGGTCCGTCATCTTGTGGGTTCGCACAACCATCTTCTCGCTCGCCCGCGTGCCGGCGCTCGTCCGCAGGACCAGGTGGAAGCTATATTCGGTGTCGACGGCCAGACCGCTGATCTTGGTGCTGTGCATCTCCAGCGGCCGGGGGATGTTGCCGGCCTTTTGCCCGTTGCGATACAGGCTTAGGGACATCAAGTCGGCAGTAGCGAGCTCGATGGGGTCCCATTCCAGGACGACGGAGGTTTGGGTCGCATTGCGGCAGCGCAGGATGGGCGCGGCGGGTTCGGAGGCGCCAAAGGACTGGAAGATGCGGTCTTGGAGGGAACGGAACTCGTCTTCCGCAGCAGCCTCCTTGCTGACGTTGCGGCCAACCGTGATGTCTACGATGCTACCGGAGGAGATGTTGGGAGGCAGCAGAATGGAAGGGAACTCGATCTATATGTTTTGAAATTGCCGCGGTCAGACATGGAGCTCGATAGAATGTCAAGATGGAGTAAAGCAGAGCAGAGAAAAGAGCAAGGAAAGGAAGATCAAAACAAAGACAGGCCAGCTTGCGAGACATACCAAGCGCTTGTCCGGGGTCAGCAGCACTGTGACGCCAGCGTCAACCTTGCCGACCGTCAGGGAGACGAGCATGGCTGAAAGCAGTAGGAGAAGAAGAAGAAGAAGAAGAAGAAGAAGAGAGAGGGAAAAGGAAGAGGCCGAGAGAGAATGTAAGGGAGAGAGAAGAGGTCGCAAGAGGTTGGTTGGTTGGCCTTTGGTGATGGCTAGGGGACGAACTGCGCGCCACGTGAAATTGGCAGGATTGGATGCCCGAGGGAGGAGCTCGTTGGATCAAGGCTTTCGTGTGCGAATCTTCGAGGCTCAATGGTAGAAGCGCAGAGACGGCGGGAGGGGAGATGCAGGAGGAGAAGCTGTAAGATCGAGGATAGAGAACAGAGAGGCGCTTAATTGATAGCGAGAGAGACAGAGACAGAGAAAGAGAGAGAGGCTGTGGCTTGATGACAAGGCCGAAGTGGGTAATTGAGCTCTAGTGGGCCGTGGATAAGGTACTGTAACTGGTCTGGGATATGACATGCGTCAGCCTTTTCCAAGTATAGATACAGGTGGGATGCGAATACTGGATTGGTGATGTGCCTTGTTCAATAAGGTATCTTGTGGCTTACATTGCTCTCTCCTCTATGCTCGAAAATGATTGATATCGAATACACGTCCATCTAGGGAAATTCCCCAACTGTGTTTGATTTTCTGTATAGCATCTTTCATTCCTGGTGGCGGTACTTGTTTCCCTCTGTAATGTCCTCATTACCCCTCCAAAGAGCCGCAGTTACAACTACCGTAGGCGGTAAAAGCCTGGAGTAAACAACAACTACTAGGTACTACTACCTCCAACCGCACCGACGACATCATCACGACCTTTTACCATCCAATTCTTTTCCGACTTTGGCCATCACAACATGCAAAAAGTATCAATCTGGTACTAGGATTGATATGCGCAACAGCCGAATTTATTCTTCTTCTCTATACTAGTAGGCACCTTGTTCACTATTACATGTTATCATCACCATCACCAGCGGCATCGACATCCATCACATCGTCCGCAATTTCCTTACCCATCATCTCCCCCGGAAATTCCCTCTCCCTAAACCTTTCTAGCTTGTGAACCACGATCCTGTGATGGTCGTCAACCATCCCCTCGGCGCGACCAGATTCAGGTCTATTAGCAGAAATCACCCCCTCGACGTGCTCGAGAGACACGTTTTCGCTGGTGGCGTGCTCCAGCACAAAGTCCAAACGGGAGTAATCCATCCTCTGTTCTGGGCACCGGCACACAAACTCCAGGGGAGACTCTTCGCCATCGACATCTTCCAGCCTGGCGCCGTACTTGAGCAGCACGGCTATGATCTCGCCAGCCTGGCTTAGGGGGGGAGCTATCACGCAACCCCCCGTTTCCCACCACAAATGGCGAAATACACCAGCCAAAAAGCTTTGGGTTTGCATGTGGTCGAGGTCCTCTCCATTCACCACCGTCGTATTTGGCCTAGCACCGGCCTTGAGCAGGATCTCGGTGCACTCCGGGTCTTGAGCTAGTGCGGCAGCAAAGAACAGCGGCGTGCCGTCGCCGTCAAAGTCGAGGCCGAATTCATCTTGAGTGGTGCAAGAGCAAGTGTCAAAATCAAGGCCCAGCTCAATGAGTCTCTTCAGCGCGGCCCGTCGTGGACTCACCACCTCCCCGAAATTGGGAGCCTGTCGAAGCAGTTGGTGGAAGATGGTCCAGCCGTTGTGGTTCTTTTGATACAAAAGGGGATCAGCGCCGTGGGCGAGCAGCGCTTCAACGGCCTTGAAATTGGGATAGCCATAAATCAACATTCTGGAAGCCGCGGCATAGAGAGGAGTTATCCCATCCATGTCCGGGAGGTTGATGTTGGCACCACCCTGGACAAGAAGTGAAATGATAGACGCAACAGTCCCATCGTTGCAACCTCTTGCTGCGGCGTAAACGACATTCCTGTTGCGATTGTCCGTAGTCTCAATCTCTATGCCTGGCACTTCTAGAAGCAGCTTTGTCGTCTTGAGGTTCCGCTGTCTGACGGAGCAATGCAAAACACTATTGTTTTCCTCAAGGGTTCTTGCCTTAATGTTGGCTTTGGGGTCCTCGAGGATCATTTCAACCACATCGTCCATTCCATCCAGTGAAGCAAGATGAAGCGGTGCATAGCCCAGGGCGTCTACGTTGCCCTCTCCAAGGCCTCCCAAATCGGCCACCAGCCTGGCCAGGCTCGGCTGGTGGCTAATTGTTTGGAAGCTAAGGCCAGGACACTCGGCGGCTTCCTTGCGGGCTCCATGCCGTATCAACATTTCCGATGATATTTCGCCCTCCTTTGCATGGACCAGAGCCGTGTGAAGCGGAAACCATGCGGGGAATAGTGGTCTGAAGTTTAGGGCATGGCAGCTACAGAGGCCGACGGACGGAATGTCGACGGAGGCGCCATGATCAAGCAGATACTGCGTGATATGGTGAAATCCCTTCATCACCGACACGTGGAGCGGCGAGAATATCTTTCTAGCATCCGCCTTCTTTCTCTTGGACCACACAATGGTTATTCTCAGCTCAGACCGCGGGTCGTAGAGGTTCAGATCCGCGCCATGGGCATAGGCCAGCTTTATCGTGTTCAACGAGTCGTTCCTGGCCGCCCAAAGAACACAGGAATTTTTAGGCTGGGCTTCAAACACATTACGTTCGTATAGAACGCCGTTGAGCGTCATGTATGCGCGGCGGCACGAGAGGACAAGAGCCCCAAGATCCTTTTCGCTCTTGAGAGCTTCAGCAATCTTGAGGAGGATCTCGGGGGGGACCTTGTCGAGTCCCATATCTGCCTTGGCCTCCATGTATAACGCTAGCTTCTAAATAACTTGACAAGAGCATGATTAGTTGGTGTCTAAATCCAGCCAAAATATCCAGACTTGAGCGAGAATACTCACTGAACACCTAGAGACGTATGACTGTCGAGATTCTTGTTTCAGTAACCACCATTCCCCGTGAAATGCGTTAAGAATTAACGTCGGATATGATGCTAATAGAGTGAAAATAAATGCCACTGCGATGACTTGCTATGACAGCCTGTGTATGATCTATCAGAATAGCGGCCAGATGAGGAGGGGAGGGAAGAGGAGAAAGAAGAAGAATAAGCACATCTGTTCCCACCACCGCTTTCCAATGAATGCGAGTATGTGCTAGAGCCCATTCTCGCGGCGGGGACGATGTACGAGTACGGGTATGCTCGCCACTTCATTAAACCGTACAAAAAGAAAGGCCAAAAACGATGTTTGCTTTTTCTCAGCTGGGAGCCACCATGCATCTAGCGCGCTGCAAGTCGTGCCTTTTTCAGCACACCGGTCAAGCCAGGCAGCATCCTCTTGCATAAATTTCCATTAATCCTTGCTTGTTTTGATCTCTCCGACCTGTGGGTGGGCGACAGGTGGCCAGGCTGCGCTGCACCATGCAGCAGGGGCATGACACCATTCCGGGACGCTCCCTGGACGCCTCTGCTCTACCAATGCTGCGGCTGACCACTGCAGGGAGGACAATCTAGGCCCGAGCATGGCCATCAAATGTGAAGGGGAAACAAGTTGGAAGTAACATTGCCGACGTGGCTATCCATGCCTCGTCTCTTATTTGTCTACGGGCTCGTCGTGTTTCAGACGGTCCCACCTGACTACGAGACAATGAGATACACTCTATAGTAATATTTCAAAGCTCACATAATATGCCATCGTACTGGTAAAAGTCAGGCAGAGAGCCTCATAGACGAGCTATGCTGGGGTGCCATTCCATTCATTAGGAAGAAGAAGAAGGAGGAGGAAGAAAAAGAAAAAACTTTGTATTCAACCAAATGGGCAAAAGATGGATATGTAAGAAGAGAAATCGCCCTGAAAAAAAAACACCAAGAACGATCCCAACTGAAACCACCAAGCACGACACCATCAGAAACCAATGAAAGTCTGTTCCCCGACTTCATCTACAAACCGTCATAATCATGCAACATCACCTTGCCACCATTTCCAAAAGTTTGGATACTTCCCATTGATAAAGTCTCGGATTCGTCCATCCTCCTGCTCTTTTGCCGCTCTGTCGATTGGCTGTTTCCACCCCTCAATCTTGACATCGAGATCATCCCGTAAGACCTTGACCCACCGCTCCTCACACAGATACTTGCATGACAGTTCAAATTTCGGCCTCCAGTGACCAATGACACATTTTCTGTCCCCCGTGGGGCCGCTGCACCGATCTGGATACAGAGGACAATCTTCCGGAGAAGGTGGACCGTTCCACTCGGGAGTTTCTGCGAGGGCAAAGTTGACAATCATCCACCACGAAACAGTGTTTGTTCTGATGAGGAAATGGGCCTGCGCTTCCACGACCTGCCACAGCCACGCCTTCCAGTAATTGTAATAATCATCAAATCGCCTTTCCTTGGTATACCAATGGATCGGCTTCCGGCGTGGTCGGCATTCGTTGAGAATGGTGGAGCTCTCACCGACCTCGGGGTTGACAAGGTCTATAATCTGGCAATCATACTGCTCTGCCACGCATGCGTGCATCTGCATGAGCACCCCATCTTCTTGATCTTCATCCTCTTCGGGCTGGGGCCCCATTGTAATCAACGAGAGCCTCTTGAGAGCGGGAAGCTCGTTGACCTCAAACAGGGTAGATGCGGGAAAGAAGAGATCCAGGATCTCGCTATATCCACCATGCTCTATGCGCGCCCGATCAAGGCCAATGAATGGCTCAATCGTTGCGTCCATTGGAATCTCCATGTCAAAGATGGTGGTAGAGCTCCAAGCCCCAAACATGGTGAAGATGTCATGCTCATAGCTGAGGAAAGGCACGTTGAACTGGACTGGGATATCGATCCCTTCCTCTTTGACAATCATGTGCCGAGGAGGCGTGAAGTAGTGAGTTTTCCACAATTCTCGAGACTCGCGGCAGACGTGTAACGGTGCGAAAATGGCGTCTTTGCGCGGATGTACAACATATTTGACAAGCCAGTTGGGATGATTCTTGTCCATGCATCGCTGTCTGGCACGTGGTTTTCCTTCTTGTTCCTCTCTGCTTTTAGACTTGCGTCTACAGATATTTCTGCACTTTCCACAAGGGATCCAACCGACGATGCGTTCTGGCTGGGGGACATGCTTCCAAATCTTCATTCTGAGCTCCGCTGGGAGCTTGGGGAAGCAGGTGAACTCTGTGAGAGTAGTCATTGCTGAGACTTGGCTTCGAAAGGCTGTATATTCATGTAGAGTTGATTACATGTATCTCGCTCGCGGACTGATCATTTGTGCGCTGAAAGTAAATGTTAGCATCTGGTAGACGCTGGATATAAGGTCTCCATAGAACCATCACACCACATACTTACTTGTGAGAGATTGATAGATCCAAGAGTACCTACTAGGTACCAGGTAGGTAGGCGGTACTGTATCGGACGCCGTAGTAGGTGCCTCTATAGAAATGGTTTGTTTCAATGCTTTGAAATCGAGTGATGGACGGGATTGGTATTGTGGTTTGGAAAGGAGAAAGAGATACAAGTTTGTCTCCAGCCTTCTGCTCGTCCGGTCCTCCTTATATAGCCCCGCTCGCACCGCCGCCTCATTGCATACTATATGCGACTTGTCTCAAATGAACCAATATGATGCTCCTTGTCCTCACCCCTTATGCATTTCACAGGCCAGAATCGAGGGTTGCGGCCTCAATGCGGCCGCCATAAGCCGCTACCTCGCATATAGTGGCTGGCCGTCTCTCCAATGGGAAGGGCACAAGTCGCCATCTATCTGTGCCGCAGTCGCAAGCCAATGCATATCTTAGCACCTTAGAAGGATAGAGACTTAGTAGGTATGTATCATGTACATCATGTGAGATTGAGTTTGATGCTCGCTTGATGCTCGCTTGTTGGGGGGGAAGGAAAAAGCAAAGAAATATTGGGGGCGAAGGTGCATCCAGTGAGCTTCATTGGGCACTGCCCTCACCGAAAGCCCGCCGTTGTATCAGAGTCAACACAGGCCATGTACCATTGCGCGGTGCTCGCCAGCGGCGGTACTTCTGGCCGCCTTCCCTACCTTAGTAGAGGTGCCTTAGTAGCAAGTTGGAAGGTGCGCCCTTGCAGCCAGGCGGTCAAGGTACACGAAGGTAAGGTATGGAAAGAGCGAGTCTGCCCTGATGAATCACGCACAGAAGAGGCACAAAAATTGTTCATGCGGAGAATCTCTCCCACCATCTTGTTCCTCATTCAACCCCGTCATTTGTGTATTGACATGACATGAGCACACAACATACACGCGCATGAATCCATCCTCGGATGTCGCATGTTGCAGCAGTAGTACGAGTAGTACGAGTACTGTACAGTAAGCACTCGCTCCATCCACGGCATCCTTTTCATTCATCCAGATCGGATCGCTAATTGATTGCTCTTTAGCCGTCCTTCCATACACATACTTGGAGTAGCTCGGCGCTAGGTACGCGGATCAGCCCTGCCCCATACCCACTCGGTGCTTGGAAACGCCGTCCTCTGCTGCCATCCCGAGGTCCATGGAATATACGGACAGACGAATCTCCTCCGCATCTTATCCACCTTTGGCGTGCCATTTCGGATGACCCGAGCCGCCCGAAACTGACATCAATTCTCCATTCACCACATGCGTCTTGGGCCGCACAGGGGAAATGGCCGATCCTTCGATTCATCCGGGCGTTTGGGTCCTTGGCGCGTGGGACGCAACCAAATTTAAAGAGATTACTCTTCCTTGCCCTTTCGTACGAGTAATAACATTGAATACTACTCGCTCTCCTTGGCACCAGGGTCGCCAAGTCTACGCTACCACGTAGAGCTTCGGCAGTCAAAGGTTACAATCACCATCCTCTCCCGATCTAGCGGCTTTCAACTAGGTACTCAAATTGAGGTGAGACAACTACTTCCTAATCGCTCTAATGGGATGGCTATTTTTTCATTTCGTCGGCGTCCCCAGACCATTCCCCCTTCCTTCGAAACATCTGTCAGCTGCAGGTACCTGGGTTGTCCTCCCTCTCAGGTAGTATCTCCCCTCATTCTCTATACAGCTACAAGCTGGGTTTCCGGCCAAAGCGTACATAACTTCGTCTCGCCGGTAACGCATTGTGTTTTCATCCTTGCAGAGTCCATGCCCATCACTGTTGGCTAACAATTCCTTAGATCAGGTGCCGAGGTTGTCCGTGCATGGCTCAACATCTCTTTGAGTTCTGACTCAGCTATTAGCACCCTGCTGGGCTCAAGCTAGCTGCGGCTACATCTTCCAAACCCAACACATTATAACCGGCATTGCTCTGCGGTCTCCAAAAAAAATTTCAAAAATCAAAAAAATTCAAATCGTTGCAGGCAGCCCGTTGACATTGACAACATGCCAGCGGATGAATCTGTCGGCAATGGCGCCGACAATGGTACCGAGAAGAAGGAGGCACCCAAGAAGCGAGTTCTTCCCTCATTGCTCAACCACGTCAATGGGAACGATCTCAAAACTCTTTTCCGCTGTTCCATAGCAGCTTGGGTTGCTGCTCTTTTGATATTCATCGAGCCTTCTCTGCAAAGCATCGGCATTTCTACCTTTTTTGCTGCCCTAGTTCTCTTTGTCACGCCGCCGGCTGGCATCCTTCTCATCTACCTCCTCGGATCTCTATCGCTCCTTGTCGGGCTGTGTTTAGGGTGGGCCTGGGGAATCTTGACAATGAAGGCTGCATTGGCTGCCCGTCCCGCTTCAGATACCCAGGCACAACTCCAAGCCCTGCAGCAGGCCGCGGTTGCTCAGGCACAAAGCACTGGCCAAAATGCAGCGGTCATCAGTAAGATACTGGTATATGAGGGTCATATGCTAGATGCACGCGTCACGGTTGTTTACTACGTCATGTCTTGTGCATTCATCTACTTCTTGTCACGCTTACGAGCAAACAACGTCAAGCTTACCCTTCTTCATCTCTTTGGCAACATCGTCGTCGATGTGTTTCTGTTGACCGGGCCCCTTCTACCGACCTTCACTCCGCTTCTGGGGCAGGTATTGGTGAAGCCAGGAGCCATTGGAGTAGGCATTGGCGCAGTGTGTTGCTTGATCTTCTTTCCACAGTCTACTTCCTACGTGGTTCTTCGAAAAATGGAACAACTCATTCGCATGTTCGACATCCCCCTTGCCTTGACACAGCAACGATTTACTACTCAAAAACTGGAAGTGGAGCAATTGAGGCAAAGCAAAGATGGCATGATTGCCCTTTACAAAGCCATGGAGCCAGAAATTGCCTTCCTTCCCCTGGATATTTCCCGTGGCCGGTGGAATGCCGACGACGTCAAGGGCCTAAAGGAATGCATTCGCCAGACTATGATAGCCAGCACATCTCTGATCGATTTCCACATCACCACCACTATGGCTCTGCAGAAGGAACGCAAAGCAGGCTTGCAGTACGATAAACACTCTAGTGACGGGCAGACGGGAGAAAAGGGCGGTCACGAGATTGGTCAACGCCATGTTTTGCAATACGCAGAGCTTATGAAGGCACTTCGAACCCCAGAGCAGAGCGATCTTCGCACTCGAATGATAGAAGCTATGCGCGAAACAACCGCGCAAGTACGCCAAGCTTGTTCAGAGTCCATCTCAGTCGTGGTCGAGTGTGTTCATACCGTCAATACTCGTCGGTGGATCCGCCAGCCATCCCAGCAAGTGTTTGATGCGCTGGTTCATCGAATGGAGACAGCCTTGGCGGCGTTGCAGTCTGCCCGCGAGTTCTGCGTTACCAATACCACCGAAGCAATTATAGACTGTCACTCCGATCTTTTTGACCAAGACGGCCAGCTGAAGATATCAGACACTCTTCAGCCACAGTCTCTGCAGGCGATGATGGTCGCCATGGTATTGGAAGAACGTATATTAGGAGTGGCTGAGGCAACGGAGACGATGCTGAAACACGTTCTTCAGCTGACGACCTCACAAACCCGGCATCGCATCTGGCTCCCGTCCCGGATACGTTATGCCTTTCACTGGATTTTCAGTGGAAGGAAAACAATTCCAATCGCCGGTGTCTCTGATGACGGCGGAGCAGATGATCCAGACGTAGCCGATGAACAGTCCAAAGAGGTGCGCCAGCGACTCCGTCTCATCCGAGGCTATGAGGCTCCCACCCGGGCAGGCCCAGTTGCCAGAGCTATTGCCGGAACCTACCGTTGGTTCACCAACCCAGCTGGCATGTATGCCATGCGAATGGTTGTCGTAACACTTGCCACTGCCATTCCCGCATCTATTCCTCACTCGGCTGGCTTCTTCTATCGCGAGAAGGGATTGTGGGCTGTCATCACCGCACAGACATGCGTCCTCCTTTACATGGCTGATTTTACCTTTTCCCTCATCTCCAGAGCGCTCGGCACAGTGATTGGAGGAGTCTTTGGCCTTGTTGCGTGGTACATAGGATCTGGCAGTGGTCCAGGTAACCCATACGGGTTGGCCGCCAGTGTGGCAGTTTTCACCGTCATCTCTATTTGGCTGAGGATATTTTTACCGCTGGCATATACCCAGGCAACGGCCATGTGTGGCGTCACCTTCATCCTCATCATTGGTTTCAGCTATGACAATGTCCATCTACCGCAGTACGGGAACCCAGGCAGAGGATATCAGGCATTCTGGAAGCGATTGGTCACTGTCTTGTTGGGCTTTCTCGCTGCGACCATTGTTCAGCTCTTCCCCAAGCCACCGTCTGCCACCGGACACGTGTGCAAGACTCTGGCGAATACCGTTCGTACCTTGTCAGACTATTACGCCCTGTTGTTATCACATTGGAGTCGGGCGAACCAGGAGGGCCCCATTGGGGCTACTGCCATAGAGGAGCTTACGCTAGAGGTTGCAGAGATTCTCTCATCATTGAACGGCTCATTGGCCCTTCTAAAGGTGGACTTTAGTGCAGGCCCGTTCGATCAAGCGGTTCTACGTCAAACTCAAGAGCAGTGCCGAAACATGAACCAAGCGCTCGGGAGACTCTTGTATCTGTCGACTACTCTTCCCAAAGAGTTTCAAGAGAGACTAGTCACTGCTCTTGGAATATTGGATGATGGCGCTATCGGAAACATCATGGCTGTGCTGGCAATCGTCGAACAAGCCCTGCGGACCGGATCCCCTCTCCCCGAAAGACTTCCTGTGCCTCTTGTCCGTACCTGCTTTGAGTCCCTATCCTATGCGCAGCACCACAAGATTGAACTAAGCACATCGCTTGTGCGAGACGAGAATTACCGACGGTATTGTGTTGCCGTGTCATCCTACTTGAAATTTCTTACCGCAATCGATGATTTAGTCTTGTGTTTGAAGGAAGCACTGGGAGAGCGTCACGTTATTTATCTATGGGACGATGATGTTTAATTCTGTATCGCCGCAAGAGGAAAAGCATTCAGCGCTCTTGGCCAGCGATTATTTGCGACACCACATTCGCAAACAAGGGCACTTTCATTCTGATATTTGCTATGAGCTACCATTATTGTTAGGATTCATGCAGGGGGTTCTTGTCCGACAAATATGACCGACATCCCCGTCGGCAACACAAGGACACGGGCGAATTTTGCGTGGATCCTTTTTAGCCAAATCAGCTGGGTTTCGTGAATTCAAGGAAATTGGAGCAACAAAGCTTGTTCAATATATTATTTCGACTGTATTCGTTTGCCTCTCGTGCGGCACAAGATGAACTCGCAGAGCATGCACTGCTTCAGCGTTCTCACTTGTTCCAGTTGTCTCACTTTAAACATGTCGCAGCATCCTGCAGTATAGTTGCAATCTTTTACTGCACCTCAAACTTTTCTCCGCGATGGGGGCCGTCTGTGATCGAGAATGATGTCGCATACTTCCAAGCTCTGATTGACTGATAGGCCGCTGCAGCGTCCCGGTTCGGTAAGACCTGCTGCATAATAACGCCCCAACACGTAATATGTGTTGAATCTGATTGCTTTGCCGACCCACGGTCTCAAGTGTGACGGACGGAGGGGGTGCGGAAAGACTGCCGACCAGTTACCATGTCTACGGGATTGCGCCAACAGCAGAGGCCCCCAAGAGAGGCCAAGAGAGGCGTGTCTGACATTATTAGATATCTCACTTCTCGCATATTACGACAGCAACCAAGACTTAGTGGACAGACCTAATGGGATCTTGAGAGACAGCTGAGGCTTCCTAAACAACGCCCTGAGATTGCCCTATGATATGGCGCAAGATTATTCCGGCGAAAGTTGTGCCGTGCGTAATTATGCACAGAATATCTATAGAGAGTACTGTCATAATTTGTCACAAACTGGGAGGTGGGTGTGTATTTCCTTTTGTTTCTTTTTCTCTCTCCCTTGAATGCAGCCTACTAAACAGGGGGTGCGTTTTTTTTTTATCTCGTCCGATGTCCTCCCCTCTTTCTGGATCTTTTTTTTTCTTTTTGCTTTTCAGATGAAACAAGCTAACTATTGAATTTCTGGTCAGTTTCATGGCCTGCTACATGGCCTGGCACCTGAATGCCGATGACAATGAAATGCGAGCACTTTGTACATCCACGCAAGACCTGGCCGGTTCAAGCCGGCCGATTTCGTGTGGGCCTACGGCGCCGAAACCCCACCGTGTGTGACATTGTGGTTCTACTCGACAGAACTCCTCGAAGAAATCTACGCTGGAAACTGGTGTCGCAAAATATTTGTAATACCGTGAAATAAAAGGCAAATTCTGCCTTGATCTAGACGCGAAATTATGTTTACAGAGCAGCAACTTGTGCAAGACACGGTTCGAATTGGTTGCCAGCCTGGACCGATTGCGCCTCCCGCCCTAGTTTATCCTCCCTGTCTCAACATACAGCCATTCACATCGGGCACCAGGAAAGAGGGAGAACCCTGACTAAAAAAAACGAAACGAAACGAAACTTGGCGCCCCCCAGTCTGGAAAATTATATCCTTCATCAGCAACACCCACATCACAAAAAGTAAAAGAAAACAACGAAAGGGGCACCCTCTTTGCCTCTGTTGTCTTCCCAACATGGGTCCATCTGCATGGAGAGACACCGACCAGCAGAAAGGGAAGCAAATCCCGTGTCTCAGATAGCAGTGGCCATTATGGACTCTTTATTTACTGCAAAATACGGAGAAGAGCCAATTGCCTACTTCCTCACCCGTCGCCGTGGGGCGTGGAACAGTCTATAGGAAGTTAATCTCGATGATTCAGGACCGATTGGCTATTGCTGCTGCCCTGCCCTGAATCTCGAGAACCTATCTGTCCCGACTATATTATTCTATGTTAAATCGCATTTGCGGCCGAACGACAACTAAAGCAGAGATCAGTCCAGGTGTTATCAACTGACGCTGAAAAGGGGAATTTTTCTCCCCCTTTGGCTCCTTTGGGAGGGCTCCGCCTCAAACTTGTACCGACCCCATCAATGTGTACATGTATGCAGCGTCACCTTTGACCGGCTTATAGCTGAGTGATAGCGCCTGCGGAGCAGTCATGATCAGGGGGGGGGGGGGGGGGGGGGCCAA